CGCGATCTCGCCCACAGGAAGCCGCGACCGTGTGGCAGCAGGGAAAATGGCCGCGGGTCCGGTTCGTAACTCGAGGCAGAGTTCGCAAGTCGAGGTAAATTTTTGGGGCCGGAGCTGGTTGTATCTCGAAAAATTCGTAAGGAGGGGCGTTCATAACTTTGCGTACCACTGTATTTATCAAGGGACATTTTCTGCTGATTTCTGAAACTTCGTAAGAAACTAGACTGGAAGTAATTTTTCATGGAATTTGAGGAAGCAGTGAAGATTTCCCTTAATAAAAGGAAGTACTTGTACATTAGAGTTTTCTGTATGTCTTTCCTTCTACCTAGTACAGTAGTCCACATTTTGCAATTATTCTCTGATAGCCATCCTAATTTCCCAATATATGGCTGTCTTCACCTGGAATCTGCAATTGGTCCAGAATGCAGCAGTTTGAGCAATAATGTGCATTAGTTGATTTGTTCATGTAGATCACCTCTTGTAGAACTGTACCGGTTGCCAGGTAGAATTCAGTGTTGTCACCTTTAGAGCCCTTCATGGCTGAGAACCTGGATATTGATGGGACTGCCTTCTCCCAGTGATCTCTGCCCATCTTCTGAAATGTGGAAGAGAATGCTCACCCTAGGTCCTGACCCTTGGGGAATGTCATCTAAAGGTATCCTTAGTATCAGCCCTTTTCAGTTGCTGCCTTCCTTCTCTGGAGCATTCTTCCTGATATCAAACAGTCTTTTATAAAGCCATTAAAGACCTGGCTGTTTCAATGGGCCTTCAGAAGTTGTCTTAGTCTCTGCTGGAAAGTGATTGTTATGATTGTTCCTCAGGGCTTAGGATATTATTTATTATATTACTATATGTCATGTTTAGCTTTTAATTTTATAGCTGTTTCAGGGTCTGTAAATGACTGGAGGAGCATATAAGCCTAGTGAAATTAATATAAATAAATACATTTAAATAAGTAAGTAAACTTCCAGAAGCGTAATTGCCCATAGTAGGGAGAGATTCATGGTGTTACAGAATGAACCATATCCAGAATGCTATGTACGATTTTCAGTTCCAGGTAATATGCTTCTGGAAATGCACAAACCATCCCTGCATGCTCAGATTAGCCTGTTCCAGGCTTGAACTACTTCCTTTTGCATATTTGTAGTGGTCAGGTGTTGAACAGTGGGCTGGAAACAGTGAGTTCTAGTCCTGCCTTAGGCACAAAGCTAACTGGGTGACTTTGGTCCAGTCCAGTCACTATCTCTCAGCCCTAGGAAGGAGGCAATGACAAACTGTTGGCCATATGGTGACCAACTGTTTGGGAGATGTTTTTACCTACTGTGAGTGAGGGCCCAGTTATGCACAGAGTAGAGGGAAGGCTTTCACACTTTATTTCTGTACAGAAGTAAAGAGGCACACTTGGGACCAAAATCCAAATTGAGCACGCAAAGGGGTGTTGTCCAAAGGTTTTTATACATTTCACTAAGCAGGTAACATTCATCACAATTCTTATTAGCTAAAACAAATCCATGGGTGAATTACATCATGCACATGCTTACTACAACCGTGTACCTCATAATAAGCTATGAGGGGGGCTCGTTAGTATCTCATGTTTACTCCTAGGGGGGTGTTTTTTACTATTATAATGAGGCAAAGGGTACTATAGTTCAACTTTTAACTAGTCACATATCTAACCAAACCAGAACAAGCTGGAGCAACACAGGAAATTCCTAAAACACAAACAGCCCCAATACACAAACAGCCCCAAAACCACTTCTGAAAATCTTGCCAAAAAAAACTACAGAAACTAATCCAAGCAATCACCAGGATTCATGACTGACTTGAAGGCGCACACACAAAAAACACTATCAGTTGATAGTATCGGCTGTTTTAATTTTGTATATTGTAGACTTCTTTTTCCATTTCTTGGATGTATAAGGTCACCTTCAGACTTTACATAAAATTGCATAGACATGAATATGATCTGACTACTTCTCTCTTGTGTGTATTCAGAGGATTGTCTGAATACAGATGTAGCTTTGCATAATTATTTCCGATCCTTTTCCTTAAGTAACGAATTCTGCTAGGTTGTCATAAGTCCTTAATAATTTTTATTCTGGTTGGGAAAATATAAGGATGGAAAATAAAGTTCTTTTGGAAATCTTTTTAAAGACTTGTTTGCCAAGCAAATGTTTTTTAAATTTGTTTTATGTTTTCCTGACATTTATTTAGATGTTATTAAGCATGTATGTTGTCGTGGAATTTTTGCTGAAGAAAGCACAGTGCTGAGAAGTTGCCAGCTCTTTATTCAATCTACATATATACTCTTTATATATATGCCTGCTTTCCAAGAAAGAGGGACCCCGAACAATAGAAAGGCAGAATTTGTATACACTTTGGGGTTGAGAGATGGGAAATATGAGGGATCTGATTCGCGGGCAAGTTTTGGATAGGTATTAAACAGGGAAAAAGTGTTTTTCTAAACAAAATCCACACTTCTGTAACAAGACAGCCAAGTTAAGGAGTCCATTGTTAAGGAGAATAGAACCTTAAGAAAAGCAGGCACATGCTTAATAGGAATGGAGTTCTGAGGTTTCTCACCTTATTAACAAAGGTTTCCTCACTGAGGCTGCCCCCTGGACAAATCTTCAAGAAGACAGTGATGGTCTTCCCATTGTTTTTGCATGATAGTGTTAAGAGGACTATTTTGGCAACAGAAGCATGATCCTTCTTGGGTCAGCCACAGTAGCCTGGGGCCGATTGTATTTTATGCTAGTGGGGGAAATGGGGGAAAGAGTTTTGCAACAGGGGAGGCAGAGGGGAGGGGGGAGAGTTTGTAGCTTTATTATTTTTCCATCACAATGTTTAAATTAGGAGCATAGTGTTATGATCCTAAATGTTTGCAAAAGCATAATCAGAATCTGAGGTAATTCTGCTGATTAATAGATTCTCTGATAAAGACCAGTATTACAACAATGAAGCAGTGAATTTAACTAAAATGACTTCCACAACATGTATTTCTAACCTGAAATTCATACTAAACCTGTTCGTTCTGCACACGCCCAAATTATGCTAGAATATTAACTAGTACTACTACTACGACATGTAGCATCATGTTCTAAAATATGTAGTAAAGAGAGGAAAACAAGTGGGAACTGCAATACAGTATTATAGTTTATTCCCAGCTCCTTGGAAGAGTGTTCCTGTTCAGGGGAAGTTTCATGAATAGGAATAGGTTAAAGCAGTGTTTCTTAAAGTGTGGTCCAAGGACCCCTGGGTGTCCCCCTTCTCAGGGGTCTGTGAAATCAAAATTATTTGCCAGATATTGGATATTTGTAAAGATTTTAAATAATGTCACTCTTCTCATTTTTTATTTGTTAAAAATATAGTTTTTTTCATGAAAAACATTTTATTTATGTTAATATCTAATTAGTTTTATATTGTTATTTTTACATGATTCAATAAATAGTCTACAAATGCATTAATTCTATTTTTTAATACGGTAAATATTGATAAATGTAACCCATACAACAAAAGCTTTTTTGGGGTCCTCCATAATTCTTAAAAGTGGGAAGGGGTCCTGAGAGCAAAAGGTTTAAGAAATGCTGGGTTCAAGGATCCCATTTTTCCTTCTTTGAGGCTTTCTCCTACTTTGTTATTTAGCTTTAGCAATAGAGCACTTTTCCCTACCTTGTTATCTCCCAGTTGTATTAGGCTACAGCAGTTATTTTAATTTAAAATAGGTTGCATTGAACAGTTCCATCTGACCATATAGTTGAATGGTATGGAAGAAGACCCTGATATAACACTGAATGATTTCCATATAGTAGGAAGCTTGGTATTCAGATAAGTTAGCCATCAACAGGCACATAGAGATAAACAACATCTACACATTATTCAAAAGAGACAATAAAAAGGAAACAAAAAGACCAGAGTGTCTCCTCACCAGCAATTATCACCCATACCAAGATTAACACCAGACAAACAATAAGCAGTAAACAATACCCTAATCAAGGAACTACCAGAAAAAAAAAGCCACCAATACTGACAGGGCCAACCACTGTATATAAACAGAGAACAAACCCCACTCTGTTCTAGCACTGAAGATGTTACCTAGCCAGGTAACTAAATGTTTGCAAGAAAACAACCAGGTTCAGAGAACCCCAAGGACTCCACCTATAGTAGGAAATTTATAATTTCATGGTACACATCCCCTGAACCCTAATTCCATTCACCTTCTCCATACTGCCTTACAGGTATTCAGGTGGTCCTCGCTTAACAACCACTAGTTCAGCGACTGTTTGAACTTATGATGGTGCTGAGCAAGTGGTACTTACTACCAGGTCTTGCACTTAAATCAGTCGCAGCATCTCTGTGATCATGTGATTGCTATTTGCAACCTTCTTTGCCGGCTTCCTATAAGCAAAGTCAATGAGAAAGCTGGCAGGAGGCTACAAATGGCAACCATGTGATGTCCTCACTAAATGATCTGCAGCAATTTGCTTATCAACAGCAACTGGAAGTGCTTAAATTTCTGTTGCTAAGTGATATGGTCACGTGATGTTGTACTTTACAACCACGTCACTTAGTGATGGAACTTTCAGTCCCAATTACCGTCATTATCTGAGAACTACCTGTAGTTCAGTATA